TATATATATATATATATATATATATATATATACATATATATATAATTATAAATATTAAATATTAATATCATTATTATAAATATAATCTAATATCCAATAAAAAATTTTTTAAATAAGGTATATTTAGCAAAAGAAGCAGGACTTTTATATGCAGTTGTAGCAGTAGCCACTGATTATGATTGCTGGAAAGATTGCGAAGATAATGTTCATGCAGCTGATGTAATGGAAGTGTTTAAACAAAATATTAATAAAATAAGAGATATATTTATAAAAACAGTTAAACTTATTGGTGAAAGAAATTGGGACAAAGAAATTGATACTCTACAAGTAATTTTTATAATTAAAAAATGAAAGAAATATAAATTAATAATTTTATATTATAAAAAAATAAGTATAAATTCTTTATCATTTCAGATATTATCTCAAAGTAGTAATGTTTCTTCTCATTCTTTGTGATTTATGTACAATGTACAATATCATATATATCATACATTTATAGTATGATGATAAGAAGATATTACTTAATATTTAACTTTATATTAAGTTAAATAATAAAAATTAAAATCTATACATTTCTTAAAAATTTTGAAAATATGTACTTTTGTTTGTTTTAATAAATATGATATAAATAAAATAAAATACAATATTTATTACTTAGTATTATTTAATCTATTATTTAATTAACAAATGATTAAATGATACTTTATATTTAATATGTATACAGATCATAGTAATTTCTTGATCATATATAATATTTAAATTTAATTCATTTATTTTCTTTGATTTAACATTTAGCTAATATTGTCATTGCTATAACTGAAATGTTTTTACAATTAACTTTAAAATTATAAATATTTGTAATTAAATTTGACATATGAAATAATACATTTCCAAAATTATCAGTATGATACATATAACATCTTTAATACATAGAGTACATATTTCTATTATTTAACGCTTAGGAAAATCTTTTTTATAAAATTTAATGACGATAAAATTTTATTTATTAATTAATACTTTATCGTCAATCATATAATAATATTGTATAACAATTTGAAATACAGATGTGCTTTGAAATACTGATAACGATTAACTCTCTAAATAAAAATAAATTCATAGATTAAAATACATTTGATTAAATCAAGAAGAATATTACTATACCTGTAATCCTTCTCTATTTTCAATATATATGTACAGAATAAAATTGAATATATTCAGACATATAGTTCAATTTATGATGATATATTAAAAATATTAAAGAAATAAGATATAAGCGAGGAATTAAAATAATATTGCAAAGCATAAATTCTATACATGAAATATTTATAATACAATCTGTTTAAATCACATGTACTATAACAGTTTTTTATTATTATTTTTCATTTTTGTGCAGCCTTTAAAGATTTCAAAATTTAATACTTGAACTGAATTTATTACAATGAAATTTTTTTATATATATTACTAAAGTTTAAGATATAACATTAATAATAATACTTCAAAAGTTAAACTAATATGTCTGTTTTATAATTTTCAATAAATAACATTTTGATACATTAGTATGTATCTGATATACTTTGCATTATTAAAACATTATATTTTCATTATATTTAATGAAATAAAACTTTACTGTATTTTAATATTTGAATAATACTTATTTTACTAGTTTTTGTATAATATAAGCATTATGAAGAATTATTGAATAAACATGGTAAAAGCATTTGAATCAAAACAGATATTATGACATACATTTTTATAACAAGATGAACTTTCTCTTTTATAACAATATTCACAATTATCTTACTTTTATAAACAATACATAAAATACTACAATTATACATTGCAGAATTTCTATTCTGGCACGATATTTTCCGTTCATTATGTAGTACTATGTAAAATAGATTGTGCTATATTTAATTGTGAGAATGTTGATACATTTACATACAGACATTTTAAGCAATATATCGTTATTATAATCGAAACAATAAATTTTTCAATATTTTTAATTTTCTTTGAAAATTGTAAATTTAAAGCAATTAATTATATGAATTTGATTTACTGGTATCTTGTTCAATTAAATATAGCCCATTTAAAAAAAAAGTTTGCAACATATTCAAATGTGTTTGCTAAAATTTATACAAATGATTGTACATCCTATTATGCATAGTTTATTGAGCTAATATCAAGGTTACATACATCTCTCCAGGTATTTGATGTATTATAAAAATATTATTTTTTAAATAAATATTTAATTTACTCCTGCAAGTGAATGAATGATAATTAGATTTATATTAAAAATCAAAAATAACAAAATTCTAAAAAATAAAACATTATATTTCATGTAAACAGAAAAAACTACTGCGTACGCACCTGCTTTAAATACCTGGAGTTATAGAAGTATGTGTTACGTAAATTAAAGAATATTTAAAATTTAAGAAAATAGATTTGTCTTTAATAATTAAACCTTATTGTCAACCATATCTACGTTGATTTTATAATACACATAAGGGAATAGTCATTTTGGCCAAAACCTAATCCTGGTATATCCACACTCTGTTTAAAACAATAAACATAGGAGATAATAACGTTATATTAATTTTTATAAAAAAATTTTATAAAAAAATTAAAATAAATTATTTTAAGAAATAATTTGTTATTAAAACTTTACAACTTACATCTTGAGTTCCTTGAGCAGCAGAAGATGCTGTAGCAGAAGAATCTAAATGAGCATAATGTTGATTAAGAACATCACGTAATCGTCTTGCACATTTTCTATGAGGATGCAACAATATTGCTTGGAAATTCACAGGTAATCCATACCTGATAAGTTATAGTTTAATCAATATATGATTAAATAAATATTAATATATAATATAAATATGATTTCAGATAATTTCTCTTATTACCTTAAAACAGATTCTACAAATACACGCAAAGCTTTAACATGAATCCATGCACAAAAACATTCACTGAAGTTAACTTTTAACCAACGTACAAGAGGACCAAATTGTTCTTTTTGTCAGTTACCAATTTCGTTATTTCATTTTTTCCTACAATACATTTCAATAAATTATATAATAATAATATAAATATTGCTAATATAGAATTAAAAATAAAAAAATTAATTTTTAAATAATAAAAAATCAATTATTTTATATATGAAATTTTGATAAAAAGTTTTTATCAAAATTTTATATACCTGCTGCTAATTCCTCTTCATTATATGTAAAATCACGAACAATGAATTTTTTTTCACGTGCATGTAATTTAAATTCTTCAATAACTTTTTTGAATAAAGTAACAGTAAATAATCCATATTCAGAATCTTGAGTAATAAGTTGTGTAGTACGTGGTACTACCATTTTTGTTAACTTTTCATAACCACTATACCAATCCTGGAAATTTGCTCTAAAATTTCATAGAATAATTTGTTTGTTAATTAAAAAAATAATAACAATAATAAATATATTAAATAAATATACCTTGGTACAATTACAAGCAAAGTAGTTAAATATTCGCTATCCAAAATAAAGTGCTCCTTCTTCACCAAATCTGCCAAATTTCTTGTTAATAAACTTCCTCTATACAACAATTATCTAGTATTATTATTTAAATAATTTTTTAAAGTGTAAAAATAAATAATTAAAATTAATAAAAGTTTAAATATAAGATATTAAATATTAATAAAAATTTATGGCTTACGTCTGTTTTTTTTCAAGATTTTGTAAACTTCCTTTCAAATTATTATATGTTGTAGATTTAGTTTTAAGATCTGCATCAATTTGACCAACTTGTTTACTGATAATATCAGCAATATTTCTTAATGATTGCTTGATAGGATATTTTGCCATGTCCCACTGGAATCGAGTTATATATGATGGTAGATCACCTAGTAAATTCATAATGTTAATGTAATTGTTCTGAGGTAACCATTTTTTTTCATTTTCTATATAAATATTCAAACAGAGCTCAGTACAATTTTGAAATTATGAAATCATAAATAACATGCAATGTTTAAATTACATGTAGTATACTTTAAGTGCTTAAGTGTGCTTAGAAATGGAATAATACTGTATATATTTTTAATGATTTGATAAAGTTCATAAGCTAGAAATGATAAAGCTCTGTTGAATTGTAAATATATTGTACAAATGCAGGAATATATATTTTTTTTAATACTATATAGCAAAATTAATATAAGTAATAATATTTATATTTATTATTTGCAAGATATTTTCAAGCATATAAAAAAATATAAAATCCATTTTTCTTTTTTCTTAAGAAAACAATAATTATATTATTTTTTTTATATACAAGAAAAATATATAAAATATATGCCTTCATATGTACAATAAAATTATGCATATGAGTATGTATCTAATTAAATTAATTTTAGCTGAATTAAAATAATTTTTAGATTGACTCTGTGATAAGGAGAGTATTGATAATAATAAGATAACAGAGAAAGACTGTTCTTCTACTAAATTCATTTCTTGATTCTAGTACGCTCCTTACGTATTATTAGCATTACGAGAATAAGCGAGACATTAACAAAAATATAGCATGCAACATTAATGTATAGAAGCATTTTATATTATCACTTCTTTTTTTTATTATAAAAAATTTTTATTTAATTAATTCTTTTTAAACATATAATATTTTTAAATAAATTTTTTTTAAATTAATTTATTTATATATCTGTAATACAAGAGAATTACTCGTAAATCATATTTGAATGAATGAAGCACTTAATCTTCTCTTTAATCTCAGTCAATTTAATATTCTAAATTTCATTATAATTCTTACTATTACAAAAAAAATTTTATAATAAAATATTCATTCAAACAAAATTTATGAAAATTCTGTAATTGTTAATGAATTTTGAATGATATATTATTATATTCTCTTATGATAATAGCTGTCAATGGATAATTTTAAATGAATAAGCTCGCACGCACGCATGCACGCATGTACACTTGGTTCATTAGAATACGAATATAATGAAAATTACAAAAATATAATGATTATATGATATTATATAATATAAATTGTTTGTATTTTTTAATAATTATTTTTAAAATAAATTTAATTCGTGTATAATAATGACCTAAATAGTGTAACATTAATAATAGTAACATAGACATATAGTATACAGCTAAGCTAAAATATTCAAGCATTTCATGCTAATTGTTCATGAAGTACTTCATAAAAGTTGATCGTAGGATGTTTTTTGTGATATGGGTAACTTGTAGTGTTGAAGGATATTGAGCACTATATTGTCATCAAAATTTATTTGATCATGCGAAACAGTATATTATAAGTCCATGTACCGATCGATAAGTGTTTTAAAATTTTTGTTAATTATGTCTCATCTGTAATCTGTGCTAACGTCCATAATATATATATATATATATATATATATATACACATATATATACATACATGTGTGTGTGTACATGTAATTATAGTTTTTACAGTATTGTCTTTCTATGAAAATTATAGAAAATAATATTTTGAAAGCATGTAAAAGCTAGGTATAG